AGAGGTCCTCTTCACAGGAAGAGGGGCATCCGGCACAGCTGGCCAGCCCATGTAAGAACTTCTGTTAGAGCCACAGGATCAGGAGGACTCCCAAGCTGTTTGTGAATGCCAACAGCCGGTGCCTTTCCATAGCACACACCTCTCCAGAGGGGACGGTCCAACAGGGTGTACTGGCACTCCAGCTTACAGTCAATGCTGACGATATGCAGGTTTCCCAGAGGTACCTGCCAGGCATCCCCCAGGAAGAGTGGCCTAGTCATCATAGCGGATCTCTGCCTGCAGCTCCTTGGTGATGTAGGTAGCTAGCACGGTCAAGAGCTTCTGCTGCATGGCCTGGTTGCTCATGACCAGAGCAGTGAGCTGTACAGTGTCTGTCCAGTCCAAGTTCCCGATGACGGCCTTGGCTTCGTTAACGAGTTTCTGCTGTTCAGCAGGGGGCAGTTCCATTAAGATCTCCACTCGTCATCCAGGCACCTAACAGGCCCCCAACTGTCCCCCCTGGAAAACAAGGAAGGGATCAATTAGTCAGCCTCATTCTCCAACAATGGCTTTGGTTTCTTGCTGAGAATGTAGCCACTGTCATGACAAGTGGGCACATTCATGAACAGGTCACAGCAAGCTCAGCTTCTGCCAGGCAGCCAGCAGGACAAAGGATTATGTCGTCTCTAGTTCATTCGGCCCAGGTAATTCACACCCAATGCATGTCCCTCCTGATGCTCCCCATGCACACACCCTCCTTACCCCAGACCTGTGCTAACTAAGATCCCCTTCATGGCTGAACACTCCCACTGCTGAGACTCCCCGAACAATCTGTCTCCACAAAGGGAGGCTAACAGGGAAAAGGTCTTCCGAGAAACCAATTGCCTGGAGAGGCGGGGAGGTTGAGCTGTTTCCATGGTATGGCTGGGATATAAAAACCACACCAAAAAACAACCTGGGGAGAAAAGAGTTTTATTTCATCTTACAACTCTCAGGTCACACTCGATCACTGACAGAAGTCAGGGCAGGAACTAACTCAAGGCAGGAACTTGGAGGCAGGAGCTGATGCAAGCATGGAGAGGTACTGCTTACTGGCTTGCTCAGCCTGCTGTCCTAAATAACCCAGAACCACCAGCCCAGGGATTGCATGGTCCACAATGAGGCAAGCTCTCCCACAACAACCATCAACCAAGAAAATGCACCATAGGCTTGCCCACAGGCCAGTCTAGTGGGGGTGTTTCCTCCATTGCGTTCTCCCTTCCAAAATAACTCAACCTTGTGTTGGGTGAAAATAAAAATCAGTGGCTGATAGGAAACATGCCCTAGTGGTTAGGAAATCCCCAGAGAACTCACATGGGAAAAACCCAGGAGGCAAGTCAGGTGTTTCACTTGGAGACTGTCTTTTATTTCATCCTCACAAACAAAACAAAACCCAATATAACTTACTATTTCCCTTTCCAAAACTAGATACACTGTTACTGTCTCTTGCTTTTGTTTTTTGTTTGTTTGTTTGTTTGTTTTTGTTTTTTGGAGACCACGTCTTATTGTGTAGCCCAGGGTAGCCTAGAACTCTTGCTCCTCCTGCCACAGCATCCCAGCTGAGAATCACAAAGTGTGTGCCAGCCACCAAGTCCAACATCTCCGGTTTGAGGTCTGATCTGGAATATAAAGTTTCAGACCAGCCCGAGGTACTCAGAGAGTTCATGCCTATCAAAAAGTGGGTGGGACTGACAAGTTGGCTCAGTGGTTAAGAGCAGAGCACTGGCTGCTCTTGCTGATTTTGATTTACAGCATGGCCGCTCACAACAAGCCCTAACTCCAGTTTCCAAGAACCTGATGCCCCCTCCTGGCCGCTGTGGGTATTGCAGCATATAAAGCATGGCCATAACGCATAGGCAGAACATCCATACACACAAATTAAAAATAAATATATAAATCACTTTACTAATATTTAATTAGGCAAACAGACAGCACAGCTTAGTGAGAACCCATTGGAAGGCTGGGCCTAGAAGACAGAGAGTAACACACCCATCCTTTCTAAATCCAGGCAGGAAGCCCCAGCTCCCCTGGCTCCCAACAGAGGGACAGCCAGTCTCTGAAGGAAAGAGGCATTCCAGGGGAGAAAAACCAGTTCACTCACGAGTCTGGCTGAACTCTTCCCCTGACACCACTGAACTGCGTTACACGTATCTGCTAACTCTTCCCAGACCATCAATATTTGATTTACAGCAGCACCTAGTGTGGACAGGACAACAATGCCCAAATTACTACTGGGTCTTTGGAGAAAGGAGAATTCCTGTGTTTTTCAGGGAAAATGAAGCACCCACCTGTGACCAGGGGCCAGAGGCAGCGAGTCCCTACCAGTGTTACTCAACGTGAGTAAAATATAGGCTCCCACAACAGACAGTGCACAGCTATATGATAAAATAGCCCCAACCGGGCTTCCCCCGGGCGCTTGGATAGGAGTGGGAATTTGAGGGTGTCTTCTCCTTTTGTGGGAAGAAGCTGAAGTCGGGACTACCGATTCACGTATTGATGGGACACACTTGTCAGCAAGCTGGGAAACAGAAAACAGAAGCCAGCCTCAGTGCTAAAGAGCTTCCCTGTGTCCAGCCTGTCCCAACGTGGGGACTGAAAACCATCTAGCAATAGCTTCTAGTAGACTGGGGTCGAGGAAGGGCTGTCTCCCTAGGCTGTCGGCACACAAAGTAATCAGTAAAAAACCACCCAGCTGTGCATGGCAGGTGCCCGGCCTGTGGTGGGGATGTCAACTAAACTATACTGAACAGTCCATGGTGGCCATCTCAGGAGAAGGCCAGCAGAGTGAGTGAGCAGCGCTCTACGGCTTTTGCTTCAGTTCCCGTCTCTAGGCGCCTGCCTTGAGTTCCTGCCCTGACTGTTCTTCATAATGGACTGTAAGCCGCTCCAAGTTGTTTTTAGTCCTGGCATTTTCTCACAGCAACAGAAAGCAAACTGAGACACAGCCAGGCTGTAAGTAACTTATCACAGAAGGAATTTGGCAAATGTAGCTCCCTTCTCAGCTAACACGGTTAACAGTGACATATGGAGGGGACATCAGGAGGACCCAGACACCCCAGGACCTTTAGACTCAAGGACACATCTCTAAGGAAAGGGCAGAGCCAGTGGGCTCCTGGAGGAAAGGGGCCTCCCAGGTCTGACAGATGCAAACACGAAGCCAAGAGAATCCAGTATCCCATGGAAGCTGTGAGGACATATTACATACATACACACACTACATGCATACAGAAGCCACTGTGCCTTATAAACTCCCCGCTCAGGATATGAGGTAGGTACCATTCTCACTTACCAAGTCGTTCTTCCATGTGGTTCCAAAACCCTCAAGCATGCCAGAAGCCTGAAATGTACTATGTAGTCCAGGCTATCCTTGAACTCTCCATGTTCCTGCCTCCCCAGGGGCAGGGATTACAGGTCTGAACCAAGGCTGGTTGTAGCTGTGAAGACACACTCACCAAGAGCAATTCCTGGTGGGCCACCAACCAAACCACCGACGAAGGCCACTGTCCCTGCAACCAAGGCACCCCTCCCGGAGTGCTTGACGGCCGCCTTCATTTGTCTCTTCTGGGAAACGGAACACAGCAGCTTCATGACGTCATCCACCGCGATGGGCATCTCGGCAGACCTTAAAGGACCATTCAAAGAGATGGGTGGTTTAGTGCTCGCTCAATTGTGTGCTTTAAAACATGTGTATACAGGTGTTCTGATGCATGTATGTCTGTGTACACACGTGTGCAGAGCCCTTGGAGGCCCCTGGAACTGGCGTTACGGACAGCTGTGAAATACCACGTGGGTGCTGGGAATCAAACCTGGGTCCTTTAAAAGGGCAGCCAGTGCTCTTAACCTCTGACTCTTCACTCCAGTCCCTGTTTTTATGTTTTGGTTTTGTTTATTTTTGAGATAAGGCCTCCCTTGCCACATACTCCAGATCAATCTATTTAGTTTAACTATTTTTTTTTTTGAGATAAAATCTTGCTACATACTCAGGACCATAATCCTTTCCCCTCAGGCTTTTGCCTCAGGGACAACAGTACCAGCACACCCTGTGGCTGAAAGGGAGAGCTTTAATGAGCTTATGAGTATTTTGACCCAAATGTATCCGTTTCTGGCATCTCAGGAAGAGTGCCCACCTTCCTGGAAAGGAGTTGCTTGGTGGTGTGCATTCAGGACAGGCACCCAGCCCTGTGTGTTCTCTGTCTCCAAGGAGCTGGGCATCAGCTAACAAGCCAATGGGAGCAGCAGAGTGGATGAAAGGTCTCTTTTCTGCCCTCTGATCGGCTTTAGACTTCTGACAAACGAGGAAGCAGCCTCAGCCACAGGCTTTACCAGTCCCCTAGCAAGCTAAGCCTGGCTTCTCTCACACCAATAGCCTTTCAAGTGGCTCCAGCAACCTTTAACATACAAAGCCTGGCAGGGACAAGAAAGTCCCAGCCATATGCCTCACACATGTGACAAGGCATCGAAGCCAAGCCAGGAAGAGGGAAAAGGACAAGACTCTGAGGCCACACTGGCATTTGCCTGCTGGGTAACCCAGAGCCAGGAGTCAGATGAAGTTAAAATGGGGCTGAAAATGTTCTTTCTGGTAGACATGAAAATGCTCTGAATTTGAGCCCCAGTGGGGAAAAAAAAAAGGTGGACCCTTATAAGGGGTACAGAGAAGGGATGCAGAGTGACTGAGAGGAGCCGAGGGATAAGAGCTAGGTGTGGTAGCATAGGCTGTCCTCTCGGTACTTGGGAAGCTAAAGCAGGGGGGTTATGAACCCATAGCCAGCCTGAATTAGATAGCTAAACTTCCTACTAAAATAAAAATAATTATTAGTTAATTAATAATAAAGAAAAGTAGGAACAATATAAACTAGTAAGATGAAGCCATCACAGAACAAAATAAATCAGATTTCTGGGGGCTTGGTGATTGACACGGTGATTGAAACTCATAGCTGCAGTTTCAGCATTTGGGAAGTAGAAGATCAGGACGAGTCTGAGGCCAGCCTGGGCTACGCAGTGAGATCCAGAACAAGACCCTGTCTCCAAACAAGAGACTTCCAGGGCTTTATAAGATACATGAAACGATAGACAGAGGGCCCTTAAGAGCAATGATCATGTCACTGGGCAGTGGTGGCACACACCTTTCATCCCAGCACTCAGGAGGCAGAGGCAGGCGGATCTTTGTGAGTTTGAGTCCAGCCTGGTCTACAGAGCAAGTTCTAGGACAGGGAGGGAAAACCTGTCTTAAAAGAAACCAAAGAAGAAGGAGGAGGAAGAGGAGGAGGAGGAGGAGGAGGAGGAGGAGGATCGTAAGCAACTTGCTAGGATCAGGACACATTGCCATGCTGGCTGGGAAGTAATAGGCAGGGCATAGCCACAGGTAAGGAGCATTGTGCCCCACAGAGGGACAGACAGGCCACTTCATAAGGATGGGGGATAAGGCTGCAGAGCTAATGCTTCTAGAAGACTCCCACAGGTTCTGCTCCCATGAGGCTGGGGTACCTGTCTGCTGAGGGAGTCCTAGGCTGCTGTCAACAGCCTTGGGTTATACCGGGCTTTGGTCAGTTGGTTAATTTTCTGCCTGCCCAAGAATTATGCAGAATCTTCCATGTAAAATTGTCCTCTGGCAAGCCTGGCAGTGGTGGCACTCACCTTTAGTCCCAGCACTCAGGAGGCAGAAGCAGGTGGATCTCTGTGAGTTCAAAGCCAGCCTGGTCTACAAAGCTACACAGAGAAACCCGTCTCGAAAAAACACAAACAAAAATTGTCCTCTGGCTCTGGGAGTTCTGAGCCCTTTAAGGAACCCATGGAGCCACCACATTGTCACAAAAGCTATTTTTCAGAACTTCTGGACACTCACAGGAGGAAGAAGTACTTTGGGTTCCAGCCCCTTGAAATGTTCCTTTTCCTCACCCCCACCCCACCTTTGAGACTTTTTGGCCTCCTAAGGTTTGCCCCAGAATCTCTGGCCTCCTTATCCATTCTGATAAACTTTTGATAAACGTCTTCCTTTCAAAAGACTAACACCCCACTCCCATCCCGTAAGGGAACCAGTTACTTCCCAGTTCAGATCTGGAGCAGATCCAGCTTTTTCTTTAATCTGTCAGTTACACTGGAAAAGGTCAGGTGCAGCCCAGGTCTTAGGAGATGCCAGGACAGCACCCATGCTCAGAAGTGCAAGGCTTGTGACATTCCTGTCCTGAAGCACCAGCACACAGACACCACTCCACGTATCAGGTCTCCGCAGGATAACCGATCTGCACTCCCAAAACGGTTTTTGTATAACAAGACCATGCAGGTGAAAAAAGTAGAACAGAGATGCAAACCACGACTTCCCCCTCATGAGTAAGGAACACATCCTGAGACTCCAGCAGATGCCTGAAAGCTAGATCATTCTGTCCTTCCAACTTATAAGCCCTGGTTCCTTTGCATTGTAACTCTCCAGCTTTGGAGCCTTGATTAAGTACAACGAGGTTACCTGAGCACATGCACCGGGCACCCACAACATGACAGCTGAGGGCTACTGAGAGACGAGTGTGGGTAGGGTATACTCTGGACACACCGGACAAAGGGAAGACTCACATCCTAGGCAGAATGCAGCAGGGTGGCCTGAGAGTTCTCACACTGCTCAGACAAAAGAAGATTTCTAACCACTTAGAAAACCTGTGATTTAAAACTTACTACGTATTTAAAACCCATGGACTGTTTATTTCTGAAAAGTTGCACTTAATATTTGGCTGCGGTTAGCGGAAACTACAGAAGACAAAACCGTGGATAAGGGGAGCAGGCTAACGGACCCAACCCATTTCACCCTCGATTATCTCCAAACCTGCTCCGAAGACCTTTAAGTGAAAACCCACGGAGCAGATAAGGTACCAACATGTACAAGTCATTCCCAGTCTCCACCTAGCCCAGCTAAGTCAGTGCAAGAGGACAAGCTGGGCTCTTCGGCAGGCGCCAGGGAGCAGGGAACTGGGCAAGAAAGGCCCCAGCTGGGCATCTGCAGTCTGAGGCTGCAAGGCAAGGGTGATTTCAATCTCTTGAGTAATTTCAGAAGTTATAGCAACAACAGGCTTTTGTTGAGAAAGAAAGGTTTGCAGCCCAGCTCTTGAGTCCATGAGTTTCGTTTCCTGCATTCTTCATGCCCAAGAGACTGAAAGAAACAAGTCCTTTTCTCCCAGCCCAGGGCCACCTGTGTCTGTAAGTGACAGGAAGAGAGATGAGGACACAGGGGACAGGGCCTTCCCACGGTAGAACAACTATTTCAATAATGCTGTCTTCAAAACAGGTCCTGACCACTGGAAGTCCACCTGCCAGCCACAGGGAAGGCAGACGTTAACTGAGAGCTCTGATGTTTTAGTCATTCGGGCTAGTGGGAAATGACAGCAGGGCTTTGGGACATACACAGAGGGGGTAAAAGTCAAGCCTTTGGACAGCAGTCTGCATGAGTTCAACCAAGTTGTCAGGGACAAGGGAGGGGGGCTTCAGAGCTAACAGGAGCCTCCATGGTCGTTACAGCAATATTAGACAAAGCTGGGATTCCAATGTCCAGTGTGGAAGGAGAAAGTTTGTGTTAGGGGAGAAACGAAACAGAAAGAGAGTAGAGAACAGACCCTAGCCCAGAGGTCACTATCTTGCTCCCCTTTCCGGAATTCACATACTCCAGGCTGCAATCTGGTCTCATAAACTTCATCATCCCATTCTTCCACCACACAAAGTTGGTTTGTTTTTTTTTAATTACTTGACTGTTGGTATTTAAAAATAAGATATCGAGAGCACGCAAGCACACCCCTGTGTAGGGGACACCGTAACCACACCTGCTCGGGGCTGGCTACAGGTATGTCCTACACCCCTGCAACTCCAGCACTGGGGAGGCTACGGTAGGAGGACTGACTGACAGTTCAAGACCAGCAAAGCCAAAATCTTAAACCTTAGATTTTCTTGATTTCTCTTGAAAGATCAGAAGGCGTCAGTGGTAGGTTCGCTACATAGAGGGCAAACTGGGCTGGGCA